ATAGTTGTTGAATAAAGAAAAGGGAACAGCTTGGGGCAGTGGCACACATCTGTAATCTCTGAGGCTCAGGAGGCTGAGGCAGGAGGATCAAGAGTTCAAAGCCAGCCTCAGCAACTTAGCAAGGTCCTCAGCAATTCAGTGAGACCCCGTCTCTAAATAAAATATCAAAAAGGGCTGGGAATGTGGGCTCAGAAATTCAGTTCCCTTGGGTTCAATCCCCAGTACCAAAAAATAAAATAAAATAAAATAAAAAAGGCAAGGGAGAAGGAAAATAAATTGCTTTTTGTGAAGCTTATATGAAATAATGCTTTGAAGATTACTAGCATAACTCCTGATAGTCTGTAAGTAGTAATCATCATCATGATGATGAGAAAATTACAATGTTTGACAAAGAAGAATAGATTAAAAAAAAAAGGTTCTAAATGCCTATAACAAGACCTATATTCTTATTGAATTAAACCTGTGCTTCTTAGTCCCCTTCTCTTTGCCATCCACAGTAAATCTCAGTCCATTGGTGCTGCTGTAACAAAATAGTGTGAATTGGATAGCTTTAAACAGAAAACAGAAATTTATTTCTTACAGTCTGGGAGCAGCGATGTCCAAAATCAAGTTGCCCTCAGATTCCACGTTGATTCATAGATGGCGCCTTCTCTCTGTGTCCTCACATGGTGGAAAGCGGACAGGCAGCTCTCTGGGACTTTTTATCATATATTCAGTCATCCAGTAACTTATTGGTACTTGGGATCGAACCCAGGGGCACTTCACTGAGCTGCATGTGCCCGCACTTCTAGTTTTTATTTTGTGACAGGGTGACAGGGTCTCTCCAAGTTGCCCCAGCTGGCCAGGAACTTGCTTTGCAATCCTCCTGCCTCAGCCCTGAGTGTGGCTGAGATTCCAGGCATGTGCCAACACACCCAGCTCTGGGCCTTTTTTTTTTTTTTTTTTTTTTTTTTAAGTAAGAGGTGCTGCCCTCATGATCATCTACTATCACTTTGGGGATTAGGTTTCCACATAAGAATGTTGAGGAACACGGACATTCAGACCTTAGCATGTAACCTCCAGCAGTCACTTTGGCCACTGAGTCCATAGCTTTCGATTTCAGTGTATACAGGGGCTCAAGGTATGTTCAGAACTGGATATGAAATGAATGAAGCGAACATGACCATGATGGAGTGTTGTTGGGGGTAATGGTTCATAGAAGTGACCCATTTCCAATCCATATAACTAATTACATGCTAATTTTTATGTTCTTCTAGTTCCTAGGGTAAGTAATCATCCAGCCTTTGGCTCACACGTGTACCTCAGGGTAGAAGTAAAGCATTTTTAGAAACATTCCCCCCTCTCTTATATGTTATTGAGTTATGAAAATGCCACTAGTTGTTTTTCATTTCCATGACTAAAGGGTTGCTTTTACCTTAAAAATATTAGACAATTCCCTTCCTTTCCTTTTGAATATCAGTAGAATCAGTATAAAGGAGAATCCTACCAACTCCATGGACAGTTAAGGAGAGAAATTGGGAATGGTATTTATTAAATTTGTGGGAGTCCTTGATTATCAATTCTCCATAGAACAAGGGTTCCATTGTTCCAATCTCAAATCCACCTGTTACCAACTTTGAAACCCTGAACAAGTTACAAATGAATCCTTTCTGAGCTTAAATATCTACATGCATTGTACAGGATGTCTACAATAAATATACAATCGCATGTTGAGCAGATATACTCAGAAGACAGATGCTGTGGAAGGGGTAGGTGTGTGCCCAGCCCTCAGTTTGAAGTTTGGATACAAGGAAGAAGGATGGAAGAGGTTTCTTCTCCCCATCTGAAAGAATTGGTGAACCTGAGAAATTGTTCTCTACCTTTGGATCAGCTGTGGAGGAGGCAGACATGGGGAAAGAAAGATTCCTTAGACTGTCCTTTTTTTCCGCCATCTTGGATTTTGATGGCAGGCTCGACAATAAAGGTAGGAATGAGCCAAGAGTCTGAAAATCAAGGACACAGAACAGAGATAAAGAAAGAAACCCTCTTCTGAAATGTTGTTAACATGGGGAGTAGCTGCCATGCTGTTTTTGTCTTGCTAGTACAATGGAAACACACACACACACACACACACACACACACATACACACACACACACATACACACATATATATATACAGGTAGCCATTGCTTAGTATAATGGTAACAATTTCCCTTGAGCAAAAACAATTTAGTTTGTATTTATGCCCAAGAAGAAATCAACGAGAAAAAGGACATTGCTTTGGACTTGAGTGTTGTGCTTTATGAAGAAAAGTATTTTCTCCATGCAGATCAGACCCAGTATGATAGTTGCATTTTCCTATATTGATACCATTGGACATTGTTCAGTTCTTGAAATACTGAAGAGGCTTCATATATAGTCTTTGCTGTAATACCCACAGTACGGGGCTTCAAGGCTGAGCTTCTACACCTGCAACCTCATGCCAGAGTTGCACCAGAGACAGAAGTGAGGACACCCATGGGTAGAGAGGCAGAAATGGAGCTCTTACAGGATTTTCATTGCATAGACAAAAATGGAAAACAAAACTAAGTAGGCTTGCAGTACCACTCAACTAACTGGAGGTAGGGGCCAGGTACCCTGATCACATTTGCTATTAAAACTGAGAAGGGATCTGTGTTTGACCTCTAGGGTATAAGAATTTCTCCTCTTAGGGCTCTTCTCTGGACCCCTCATCAGCACCCCTGGACAGGGGGAAGGTGACCAGTACTTACCATCTTCTCTGGCATTTTATCTGAGCACATCATGTTCAGATCACAGAGCTGCTTTACTTTTAGCTAAGAGAGAAGTTGTCTTAGACCAAACTTGGGAAACAGAGGGCTTCCCAATCTCCAGGAGGCAGCATCAGTCAGTGCCCATAAATAGGGCTTTGGCAAAGACATAGAATGAGATTTTAAAGAGAAGCCATTGAGTCATACTTGGACAACTGGCTCCTACCAGATTAGAAATAGTCCAGTCCCTAATGCTCTAAGCAGCAGGTTGAATGGTGGCCCCTAAAAGATATGTCAACTCCCTGGAATCTGCAAATGTGAACTTTGAAAAAAGGGACTTTGTGGATGGCATTGTTGAAGATAATGAGACCTTTGGGAGATCATCCTGAATGACTCAAGTGGGCCCCAAATCCAATGACAAGTGTTCTTACAAAAGACACATAACCCAATCAGTAAATGGGCAACAGAACTCAACAGACACTTCTCAAAAGAAGAAGTATGAAYAGTCACCAAACATGGAAAAAATATGTTCAACATCTCTAGCAATTAGAGAAATGCAAATTAAAAATGCATTGAGGCTTCATCTCACTCCTGTTGGAATGCCAATTACCAAAAATATAAGCAATAATTAATATTAATATGATAATATTATCAATAATATTAATATTAATATTGGCAAGGATGTGGGGAAGAGGGTACACTCTGCAAATTAGTGTGACCTCTCTGGAAAGCAGTATGGCGATCCCTCAAAAACACTAGGAATTGATCCACCATTTGACCTAGTTATCCCACTCTTTGTACATAGCCAAAGGATTTAAAATCAGCATACTACAGTGACACAGTCACATCAATGTTTATAGAAATGCAATTCACAATAGGTAAGCTATGGAATCAACCTAGGTGCCCCTCAACAGATGAATGGATAAAGAAATTGTGGCATATGTACACAGTGGAATATTACTGAGCCATAAAGAAGAATGATTTTGATATTTGCTGATGAATTTGAGGATCTGGAGACTGTCATGCTGAGTGAAATAAGCCAATCCCCCAAACCAAAGGTGGAATGTATTCTCTGATATGTAGAAGCTAACCCATGATAAGAGTTGGGGTGGGGAGAATAGAAGTTTAGAGCATTARTGAAAGGAGAAGGTAGGGGTTTGGGGGATAGGAATAGGAAAGACAGTAGAAAGAATCTGACATAACTTTCCTGTGGACATTTATGAGTACACCACAGTGAATCCCACCATTGGGACCCTGATTAAGATGTATTTCATGCAGGTATAATTTTATCAAAATGGACACTCCTCTGTCCTATATAGCTGAACCAGTTAAAAAATCTGTTCCCTCCCCAAATAAAGATACCCAGGAGAGATGGGGGGGTGAGAGAGAGAGAGAAGAGGAGGAATGGGATGACAGGGACAGAGACTGACAGGATTCTAGGAAACACCAAGGATGCCACTCATGGGCAGCAGCTAGGAGAGGGGCTTAGGATGGGTTCTCTCCCAGAGCCTCTGGGGCAGCATGTCCCTGATGGATTCTGTTTTTTTTTTTTTTTTCCTGACCTCCAGAACTGTGGAAAGATTAAGGTGGTGTTGTAAGCCACCTCGTTTCTGGTAACTTGTTCAGGAATGACAGGAAACTAATGTGACTAATGCTGGTGATGGGGTTGGAGTTGGGGAGTGGCCCATAAGCCTAAGGAGATTCTCAAAGACATTTTTAGAAAAATCCTGTTTACAGGAACTTGTAGCTATGCTGTCGATGTGTTTTATCTTTCTATAGAAACTCGAATCCCTTTTTATAAATATGCCAGAGGAAAGAAAAAGCCTACTTCCATCCTATTTCCCTAAAAATTGAAAAATCATGGGCCAGGGGCATGCCTCCTCAACCCATATCAGCAGCTTTCTCTGCTCCCCCTAACTTTCCTACCACCCAACAGCTCAGCTCAATGTAGAACGTGTGCATCTGTATCCTGAACCTAATGTTGCCATCTGAAGCTCTCCGGACCTTGCTTCTCTGCACTGAGGGCAAGAGGAAAACATAACCCAGGAAAAGCTGTCCATTTCTTGTTCTATTATCTGTCCTACCCAAATGGAAACACTCTGAATCTTATCTCCGCCGTAACAAACTCTTGGGCCACAGGAAGCCAACTAGCTCCAAGAGCTCACCTTCCTCAGTGGTGCCTCTCAGAGGCCCCGGGATATCCATTTTTAAGTCAGCCGGCACATGAGATAAATATTTTAAGGACCATTTTATTTTCACCCAGGCTAAGGGGCAATTTAGAAGCGTTCTATTCTAAGTACATAGCGTGAAGAGAAACGTGTGGCAAGGTTGTGGATGCCATGGTTTTGAAGCCAGCCTGTCAGTCATCATGATTGAAACATAACCCCAGTGGCTTCCACGAGTGCAATAAGATGCTTCGCAAAAGGCTGCAGAATCGCAGGATGTAATAAAGTCTGCTTAGCTTCATTTCCAATGCCGCGGAGTCCTAGAGAACGAGGCCCATTTCCTTATGCCTTGGGATTTGTTTGAGTTACTTTCATGCCTGGAAATGACAGAACATAAAAACAGACATTTAGTTAGAACCAGTAGCATTTTTTTTTTTTTGGAGTCATGGCAATAAACAAAATATACGTTTGTTTACTGCTAATCTGTTGGATTGCCGTTAACATTTTATGAGAGGTCATATTTATGTGGCACATTCCATGAAATAGATAGATTCCAGCCCTGCTGATGCCTAGACTGGCTGGGTCCCCACGTTTTCTGTGTCCTCTGCCCACAGTCTATGCCGTCAAGGTCAGCAGCATGGTGCTTGAAGAATCTGTGTTGTTGATAAAAAGCTTATGTRCAAATGAAACCAATCCAGACCTATGTTTGTTATTAGGTAAGAATGGGTTCCCCAGCAGCCATTGTCAGAATTACTTGCTGAGCTTGTTAAAAACAGAACTCTGTGCCCCACATCCTGACTTAGCAGTTCTGGGGAGAGGCCCAGAAATCTGTTTTGTTTCCTTTTTTTGGTACTGGGGATGGAACCCAGGGGCTCTCAACCACTGAGACACATCCCCATTTTTCATATTTTATTGAGAGACAGAGCGCCTCATTAAATTGCTGAGTCTGGCTTTGAACTTTGCTATCCTCCTGCCTCAGCCTCCCAAGCCACTGGGATTACAGGTGTGTACCAGTGCACCCAGCAGGAATCTGTGTTTTTAAACAATCTCTTCAGGGGAGTCTGAGGAGCTTAGCCCAGGGGCTTGGGGAATTATGGAACCTCCACACTGCAAGCAGAATCAGCTCTGCCTCAAGGCCAAGCAGTGTATCTTATGCACATAGGCCAGGCCTACAATAATTTCTACTCACAAAGTTAAAAAGTGAGGGTGATGTCCTTTCATTTTGCAAGAAAATCAGACAATTCCTTGGTGGTATGATGGTGTAGTGGCCCACACCATTTCATAGCTCCAAACCCACCTCTCTGTTGCAGCCTTAACTTCTAGGCCTCTATTACTGGGATCAGTTAATTAGGCACAGTAGGTTCTGCCCCTGCCTTCCTCCTAGCTCACAGTGGAGTAATTACAAAAAAAAAAATAGGAGTGAGGAGAAAGATGAAGACATTATGGGTTATATTTCATAAAATTGGGGGAAGATTGAAAGAAAAGGCACTAGGAGAATTTTGGAGCATCTACCATGTGTGTGACAAATGAAGAGATTTTGAGAAATATTGTTGAGAAGCACAAATAGATTTCCTCTTCAGAGTTTTCAAGGGATTTCAGAAAATATTTAAATTGCTTTTCACATATTGTCTGCCATTTGTGGCTTGGTGTGCGGCACTACAGCCACGGATCTGAGAAGCTGTGGTGTGAAGACCCTGCTTGCTTCAAGGGTGTAGCTCACGGACATCCTCAACCTGGGCCCACTCAGATCCACCTTGGGGAGGACATGCACCTCTAGTACATGGAGAAAGCCCAGTGAGCCCAGCATTAGGCTTTTCCTACAATGTAGTAACAGTGAAGAGCAGGCCATCTCTTTGAATTGCACCTAGTCCATTTGGGAATCTAGAACATAGAGGCTGGGTCATGTCTGCTTCTGAACCACACTAGGGAGGTCTTGTCTGAGCTCAGCATGTCCTCCTTTGAGGCCTGCTGGTAGCCGTAGTGAGAAGTGGACCGTGGACTGTATATAGCAGCCAGTTGGCCCCTCTGGGAGAAGGGGACCTGTCTTACTCCCATTTGACAGTAGGATCATCCCCTATTGTGCCCAGTGCCACCCATCTTGCCTGGAGATACAGGTCATCTTCCATCATTCATCATGGCCCTTGTCCTTGAACAATATTGACTTTGAGTCAGAGGCGCCTGAACAGGACTGAAAATGGATGTGCCCTTTCTATCCTTTCTACCTGCCTTGCCTGTCTACAGCAGATTWATGTCTTAGGAGAAGTTTCCCCTGGTTTTATTTTTGGTCTCCTGAAGGCTGTGACCCTGCACTAGATCCCTGTAATTTCTGAATCCAGGTGAATGCCTCTATCCATACCTGAGGAGGCTCTCTGCCAGTCTTCTCACCACGCCTCTGTGACCCATCCCTCAACACAGCTTTTACATCCAAATGTCTTCCCAGCTCCTTAGAGCTCTGCCTGTGCAGTTTTGTTTGCCCATCTGGCCTGGAGGCTCATGAGAAACACAGTCTTCCTTTCATGCCAGAGCACACCGGAAGAATGTGTTGTGGTTTGGGTGAAAAGGTGAGAGTGTGAAGTCCAGGCACCTCACTTCCTAGCTGGTCATCCCTAGGCAGGGTGAATGCATCTTGCAGGTGCTTTAGAGAGTTCAGCGACACAAGCGCTCACAGCCATGCCTGGGGCATGATAACGTCACTGTGTGTTGGCGTCTCTGGTTGTCATTATCATTATTTCTTCCAGTGTCATAGCAAGAGAAGACTTAGGACTTGGTTACACAGGGAATTATTCTGCAGCAGGGCCATGTGCTCACCTACTAGTTTGATTTCTTACACAAGGTGCCCTTCTAAATATCTGTAGTTTCCTTTAATATCAGAGTTAAAATTGAAGGGGTGCTAAATTGAAGGACATCTGGGCATCATCAATGAAAGGATTTACTGAGATGCAAATAAGGTTTCCAGGAAAGTATGAGTAGGTGAATGAGAATGGTTCTGTCCTCAGGGTGCTTCCAATCCATATCACACATAGCACACGTGGCCAGGTGAGCAGGTGGGCCAGAACATGTGGGCCTTTCACTGTGAACGCCGGAGGTTTGATCCCTGTGAACAAACATGCTTGAGAATTTTCCATTATTTCCAAGTTCTGAATGGACATAGTGCAGATTAACTGCCCTCCTTCCCCGTCTGCCATCACCAGCAATATGCTGGGAGAATAATAGGTAACATCTTTGAATTAGAAGAAAAAAATACAATGTCTGATGAAGGAACTTCTGGCTATTTATTTTCTTTTTTATTAATCTGCCACTATATCTATTTCTTTTTTTATTTAATTATTAAGGTATATTGTACAAATTCATGGGATTCACTGTGATATTTCCATACTTGCGTCCATGGGGTCCACCCTTCTTCCACACTGATCTGCCAGTCCCTCTTCTACTTTTAGATCCTTTTCTTTTTAGTTTCCACATATGTGCAAGAGAACCTGATATACCTGTGTTGGTGTCTACCTTGTTTCACTTAACATGGTGTCCTTGGTACCACCATTCATTTTGCTGCAAATGGCGGAGTTTTATTCTTTGTGGCTGGGTAATGCTCCATTATTACCATATTCATTCACTTGTTGATGGGCATTGATTCCATATCCTAGCTATTGTGAATGGTGCTACAGTAAACATGGGCATCAGGTATCTCTTTTGTAGGCTGATTTCATTTCTTTTGGATATATATATACCCAGGAATGGGATAGTTGGATCGTATGGTCATTCTTTTTCAGGTTTTTGAAAACCCTCCATACCGTGCTACTTTATATTCCCACCAGGAGTGTACATGGGCTCCTTTTTCTCCACATCCTCTCCAGAATTTTTTATATATTTTTTTGCAAAAGCCATTCCAATTGGTGTGAGGTGGGACCTCATGATTTTGATTTTGATTTCCCTGATGGCTGATGATTTTGAAATTTTTTTTCCATATATTTATTGGCCAGTTGTATTTCTTTTGAGAAGTGTTTATTCAGTTTATTTGCCCATTTTGAATCATCATTTTTGTTGTTATATGTTTTGAGTTCTTTCTGCTGATGAGTAGCTGGTAAGTGTTTACTGCCATTCTCAATTCTTGCTGTTTTTTCTTGTGCTTTTGGGGCCCTAACCAGAAAATGCTTGCTTCTACTAGTATCTTAAAAGTGTTCCCCACTATGTTTTCCTCTAGCAGTTTCAGGTCTTACATTAAGGTCTTTGATCTATTTTGAGTTGATTGTTGTTTTATAGGGTGAGATGGGGGTCAAGTTTAGATCTTCTGCATGTGGATATCCAATTTCTCCAGCATTATTCGGTGAAAAGGCTGTCATTTCTTTAAGGCATGTTTTTGACCCTTTTAGTGGGAATCAGTTGACTGTAGACAGTGGGCTTACTTCTGGATTCTCTGTTCTGTTCCATTGGTCTACGTGTCTTTATGCCAATACCATGCTGTTTTCACGACTCTGGCTCTATGGTGTGTCTTAGCATCAGGTATTATAATGCCTCCAGCTTTGCTCTTTTTGTTCAAAATTGCTTTGCTTATGTGAGATTTTTAGTACTTCCATACAAATTTTGGGATTTTTTTTTTCCTGTGAAGAAGGTCATTGGTGTATTGATGGGGATTGCTTGACTCTGTAGATCACTTTGAGTAGAATGGAAATTTCAACAACATCAAAACAATGTTCTATGAACATGGGAGGTCTTTCCACCTTTCAGTGTCTCCTTGATTTCTTTCTTCAGTGTTTTGTAATTTTCATGTTGGAGATCTCTTATATCTGTAGGATCATCCCTACTTTTTTATTTCTTTTTAAGTGTGAATGGCTATTCCAAAAGGAATTGCTTTCTTTCTCAGCAAAGTCATCATTGGCATGTAGAAAAGCTACCGGCTTTTGTGTGTTGATACTGTATCCTGTTACTTTATTGAATTCATTTATCAATATTTAGAAGTCTTTTGGTGTAGTCCTTAGACTTTTCTATATATAAATTCATATCATCTGCAAACAGGGATAATTTTACTTCCTCCGTTCCTATGTGTGTGCCTTTTATTTCTTTCTCTTGCCTAATTACTCTGGCTAAAATTTCTTGTACTCTATTGGATAAGAGTGGTGAGACTAGATACTCTTGTCTTGTTCCCAGTCTTAGAAGAAATGCTTTCAGCTTTCCCCCCTTCACTGTGAGGTTGGCTGTGGGTCTGTCATTTATAGCCTTTATTATGTTGAGGTGTGATCCTTCTATACCTAATTTATTCTGGGCTTTTATCATGAAGCCATGTTGGATTTTTTCAAATGCTTTTTTGCATCTATTGAGATGATTGCATGATTTTTATCTTTCATTCTATTTATGTGATGTAAATAARTCTTGAGTAAGGACC